TACTCAAAGTTACGAGTGACTAATCCAACTAAACACTCAACACAACACACTCGTTACCAATACATATAGTTACTGCAAAATTTATTTGTGTAAGTTATATTCTATACTAGCTGATGCTCGCGACTTCGTCCGCGTGAATTTAAAAAATAATAAAAAATATAGCCTATGCTATTGACAGATAAACTACCTATTAATGTATTTTAAAATCGGTCTAGTAGTTTTTACTTGAATACATACAAAAATGCAAAACTTTCCTCTTTATAACATTGGTGTAGATATAGATTTTTTTGATACGTCAATTTTTACATACTTTAGATAGTGACAATGACAGAATAGCCAGAGTGGCATGAAAGTTGTCATGTCAGTATCAGGTAGCGGCAGCCAACAGTCGACAGCAGCGCGGTTCGATTCCCAGAAGACACGAATGGATTTTATTGACCGTGATAACCGATCTGTTCATGATTGATCGTCCTCTCAACATTAACTTTGTTCTCACTACGTCATTGTTTTATTATAAAAATAAGGACAGTGTAATGATAAGGCTGTACCGAATCACTCAATAATGTTACTTTATACTTTATTGGAAATTTTTATGTGTACTTCTGTTATTAAGAGGAAATGTTTGCAGTTTTTTTAACTTATGTATGTATTGAAATAATACAAAAAGTACTGGGGCGATTTCAAAAATTCTTTCACTATTAAAAAGCTACATTATCAGTGGGTTTCACAGGCTACATTTTTTAATTTCACGCGCGCGAATTAGCGAGCTATAGCTAGTTAAAAATAAAACATATTCTTACTTTGACACTAACAGTCTGTGTATTAAATCTTTTATTTAAAATTTTTACAACAAACTACCATATAAGTACGAAATTTGTAATTTATCTTGTTTTAAGACACAAAGCTTCAAAACTTAATTTTACTTCCAGTTCTCATAGACATATTATACATTTATTTAAATCGGACAGATAGCTAAAGAAATAAACAGAAACTTCGAAGAAAACTAAAAAAACAACTTATGGCTTACAATCCCCGCTAAGCTTTCTTACTGAGTTGGAGCACAAAAGAGAGCGAGACGGGGGCAGGTTAACATGTGAGATGAAAGGAGAAACAAGATATAGAGCCACGTGACACCTGCCGACCGCCAAATGAAGATATCGCAGCTGGATGCGAACGACTGCATCAACAGAGGTGCACAACATTTTCATTTTATTAACGTTATCACAATAATAATTATACTAATGAAATACATACAAGGTATTACGAATTTGTTTTACTTTCCGTGTATTACTTTAAGCAAAACTTTTAAATATACTGAGCTCTGTTTACTCTTAAAAAATGATCGCAAACATTATGCAATCGTTATTGTATTTGTTAAAATAATCTAATCGACAAGTTCTGCAGAAACTCACAAAAGTCGCAAATAATCCCAAAACCCTTGGACACAATAAAAACAAATTCACTGATTTTCTCTGTTTGTTTGCGACTGACTATTATAAACTTTTTTAATTAAACAAGTGTACCAAAGGTTTGGTACCACTATTATTTCAAGATCCAAATACCTACAAAGGTTACAATGGTACCGGAGCGGCGTAGCTCCGCCGTGCAGCGCATTAAACGAATACATTCAAAAACGGAAGGCTTTTTAAAACTGGTTACTTTAGAAATTCAAATAATATTAATGTGCTATAATAAAATTGTTTCTTAGAATTCAAAATTCACATTAAATGTTTAATGACGTATTTTTTCTAATCAGAAGCTGTAATGTATTTAGATGTTTGCTGAAATTTTAAACATTGTATACACAATTTTACAACTTAATTTTTATTATTATCTGCATTACGCTATACTTGTTAGCTTTAACCTGAAAAAGACACAAGTTTGTAAGGATAATAAAACTCCGTAGATCTTCCAAATATTCATAATAATAACAGAGAGATAAATAATTTACCAAGAAAAACAAAGCTACCCTCAAAACGGGAGCTGTCATGAAGTGCTCAGGTAAAACGAAATTAAGAAAGTACTTGAACGACGACCTATACGTATCATTTACAAAGGATTATAATTCTTATTACAATGAATGAGATGTTAGTTTTGTTTGTATTTAATAATGCTTACAACAGCATTCGTATCGTTGGTTTGTTTAGTTTACACAGCATTGAACAAATATTTATAAAAGCACAGAAGCAAACAGTAACGTAATCTAACGTTTCATAGCGGATTATCTAGTACAAGTTAATAGACTGAAAATTAAAGTATTTGAGATACAAAAATATCTCGCAAGATTTAAACAATTGGACTTGTAAAGATTATTCTAGGCGACTAAATGTTTGTAGGAATCGCATAAATTGTTATAGTAAATGATTAAAAGCTGTATATGACAATGTTATTTTTTTTGATCGACTTCCCAAAAGGTCCTTCTTGTACTCAATTCGTCTGTATATATATTTTTTTATTACCTTAAATCCTGTGTATGTAAACTTCTGGCCGGGTAGACCCTTCGTCAAGAACAGCCGAATGAGAATTATTAAAAAGAAAATAAATTCGTATGCTATTTGGCGTACCTGTAAAAACATAAGAAGTGATTTTTTACGCCACTGGGAAAAATATGTTGCAGCGTCATCTATTTTAAAAACAAAAAAAAAATAACAAAGATATCTATTGGTATAGCGATTAATCATATGCTCTTGATCCTATCTCAGTAAGATATGTGTTTGGGACCTCTTAAATTATTACATTTTAATTGGTACGTTACCTCAGAGATAGTTACGCTTTGAGAGCAGCGTCGAAAATAAAGATAAGCGTATTTGATTAAGGCGGAACGAATCTTTGATAAAGGAAATGTTTTTATTGACATTGAAGGGTCATAAAATCATTTTTTTCTATCTAAACTCCACACTATAGTTTTAAGTACACTAAGGGTCGGATGTTCTTTATACAACTTTTGGAAAAAATATAGAATAACTCACTTTTTTTAGACTTTTTGATATAACTTTGACTATTTATGATTTTTTTTAATTATTAATAATTGGTTTGTATCTGCAACTTAGTTGTGATTAACGCTAGGAACATAAAAATGGAGCTATTTTATATTCATGTTAATATCTTCTTTTCGTGTCATGAACCGTAGACAGAATCTGTAACTAATTTAATTTTCAGAGAAATACAATCAGTAAAAGTTTTAAACAAGATGACTTAAGTACAGGAAATAAGAAACGTGAGAATGATATAAATTCTACATCCCCCGCGTACTCCGCACCCCGCAGTCCCCCGCGCCCAGTCGATAATTGAGACATCAATTTTTTCAAGCCTCGCCTACACACTAGGGTAAACATGATAACTCTTCTTGATAAGAGATGATTTTCCTTGATACCATTTTCTTAAACTGAAATGTTTAAATATAAAAAGATATTGTTATGGCATCACTAATGCTGCATCTATGTAAGGCTTGTGAAGATGAATCGCTATGGGACCTAGTTTGGCGCATCTTATTGTGATGCACATTAACCATATGTCTATATTGCCTTAGTTCCTAGAAGCCATTCATATCGTACATTTTATTATTCTCTTTATGAAATGGGATTATTAATATATCCGTAAATTTATTTCTGAAGTAATGGTTACCCTATGTTCTCTCTTTCCTCAATATTTATAACGTGAGCGGTACGTAATTTAACTTTACTTCTCGTTATCTCCGAAGCTTCATCTAATCCTGTTTCTGTCGAATACTTACTATTAATGTGGATGCCGACATGTACTATTAAATAGAGAAGGCTAAAAGAATTTTCTTAAATAGTTTTCTGCTTTTTATACTTTATTACATTTACTGGAAAATATTTCTTATGTTAACAGTGAAATAACAAATCTCCTTAATTATTTAGTTATAAATATATTTTTGTGCACTCTTTCCCGATATATGCAATACAAGCAAAAAAATCGGAACAGTAACATTAAGAAAAGATTCAAAATTAACATATTTTGTATTTAGTGATCTCTGTTCTATCATACACTTGATAGTGTTACAGAAGGGTTTGTAACTTGGAACATATTTGGAGGCTGGTATTTTTTCTTCATTTCAAAATCTTTTCAAACATACGTCATGCTGTCAATCGTAATAATTACTTTCAATGGATGATGTCTATAATAGTCTTTACAAAAGACTTGACGTGCACAATTAAGGCATCAGTCAGACTTACTGGGACGTATCTTTGTTCCATTTCTATGGGTATTGTGTTATTTGAACACGCGCTGCTCTTATAGAAACGTTCACCTTTCAAAATAAATTTCGGTATTGTACTAATAATGATTCGAAAAATTTTAGCTACTGTTGTATTGGGTAAAAGTTAACAAATAGCACACAGTAAAATAAAAATTAAAAAAATTGTATTTTTAAATGTAAAACAATTTTTTTTAAATTCATGTATGCATCTGTCAGATATAACTTTTCAATATGTTGAGTGAAATTACCATATACAAAGATATGGTTTATAATAATATAATTGTCTGAAAGATAGATTCGTTATACTGAAATAGTCCGATAAACCTATTCTTTCATTGTAAAATGATATCTACGAACTTTATTTTACTGCGAGACGTGTTTAGTGGTGGCGCCATCTATTATTTAATTGAAGCACCTAAATAAATTCATCTTAAGGTATGAAAGTTAATTATATAGTCCGTAATATGTTTAATAAGTCATAAGGTGATATTACTCAGTTTAATTATACTCAATATGAGTAGTCATTTGTCATTGAACTACCTAAAACGACAAATGACCCTCTTTTGTATACATCTTAGAAATCACATTTACGAACGTGTTTGTTATAAGTTCCAAACTTCCAAACCCACTGGAATATCCCAATCAAGAAAATGAGGTTTTTTGTATTTATTTAGGAAGCAATTCCAGGAACTAATTTTACAGATCAAATATTGTTTGACGTGAACGCACCGTTGACAACATGACAACAATGAACACAGGAACATATGGAATGACATGTCAAGAATTTGACAGTTCTTGTATTAATTCATGTGTTGATTAAACAGTGGCATAATATATTTATTTTTCACATTTAATTGATTTCAAAGGTTCCCTTTGTTGCATCGTTACAAATTTAGCTGAAGAAATAGTTTTGCAAGTCTTATGTAACAGTGTTGTGAAAGTGTATTTGACATTTAGGTACTATTTTGATTGTTGATAACTTTTACTTTTGTAGGTAATTTCATGATCATCTGTATAACTGTTCCCTTCATTGCAATGTGCACAGTATTTATTATTGCGTGTTAATGAATTCTGTTCGAGCCAGTGATCAAATACGCCATTATTTCCTAATCTAGGGTCAATGCCAAATTCAGATCGATTTAGACATATTAATGTCCGAAAACTAATATTTTTTGCTCTAAAAGATAAACTTTGACGTTGAGTGTCGAACTAAGATAAGTTTTCATGATTGATTTTTTTTAGGGTTTCTATAAAATGTGGATATCCTAACATTAAAAATAGTATATCCTTAACAAGTTGTGCATATCTGTGCAAATTGCACAGCGATGAGTAACGCTGGTCGGCCTAACGTAATGAATAATTTGCCACCTGGTGTTAACCCTGAAAATAATATTTTCCCCGGAGGTCCATTAGTAAATCAAATGATGAATCGTACAAACAGAAATAACAATCAAAACCCTCTATTCAACGTCAGAGAGAGGCTATTCCATGCCTTATTCTTCAAATTTGCAGTAGCATATGCAAGAACATTTCCGAGACCAGTTAGAAGATTTTTTGAATTTCTCGTGCTACTGAAAGCCCTTGTTGCTTTTTTTGTTCTTGCATATATTCATATAGCATTTTCAAGAACTCCTACTACTTGTTTGAATCATGTGAAAGACTCATGGCCACGACACGGCATCCTTCGTGTGGAAATATTGAAGAACCCTGCTCATGATTATACTATTGAACAAAGCTATGCAAAGGAAAGAAAACTGAAAAGGGATAAGGAAGAATTCAATTCAATGCTCGGAATGTTAGCTACAGAAGGGTGAGTACATGTTAAAATTGAATTTGATGTGGCATTTGATAAATTGGTTCATTCCCCCTTAAAAAAAACCATTTTATTCGTAAACAGTTAACAAAGTTCAGAGCTATTAACTTGTTAGTTGAGTTTATTTTCCTTTTTAAAGTTTGTACCAAGTATTATGTTAAGGGACACAAATTATTGTTTAGTAGTGGCTCTATGAGTGGAAAGCACTGTTTTATTGTCTTGTATAATTACAATTTAAATTTGTCATTTGTATTTGTACATTTAACATTACCCAAAGGTTATATTAGTATTGCATCAAAAAAGAAATACTTTAAGTAAGATAGGAGTCAATAAGTTAATGGCATATTTTTTTTTGCGATAGATTGATATTTTTGTATGTATTGAAATAACTCAAAAACTACTAGGCTAATTTTTAAAATTCTTTCACCGTTAGAAAGGTAATTTATCTGTGAGTAACATAGGCATATTTTTTAATTTCACGCAGGCAAAGTTCGAGCAACAGCTAGTCTTAAATATATTCAGATAAGGCAATTTAAATTTAATGTATTTATTTTTCTTTTTATCTTTGTAGATGGTTTTACAGAACACATATTTAAAATGATTCAAGCAAATCATTTTAAATCTTATTGCTGACTCATAATGACTAATTTAGAATTATAAATATCATAATTGTATAAAAAAATGTTAGTATGTGGATGATAATATATATTTTTTTCTTATGTTTCCCAAGTCAGGTTGACTGATATTTAAAGGTTAAGTGGTTGATTGACTGCACCTCTTTGTCATTATTCTTTATCTATAATGCCAATATCAATTCATATTCTTTAATTACTTTTAGTAATCTAATATAAAAATCACTGTTTTGAAAAAAACAGTGATTTTGATATTTTTGTTATAATCTAAGGTGGCAAACAAGCGAGAGGCCACCTGAATCCACCAAAATGGAAAGCGACCGCTGCCCATAAACATCCGCAATTGCAGATGCGTTGCCTACCCTTAGTTAACAGAGGAGGAGACGCACGAGGACATTTCCCCTTCCTGTATGTCTCCTACATCGTCAAATCCACTTTTCCATCCCACCATCTCCTCTGAAAAAAAGGGTGGAAAGGAAAAGGGACTAAAATTAGGCCTATATAAACAATCTGTGAATTGTGGCTTAAACATATAAATTATTTTAAGTACATTTTCTTTCGAGTTTTGACCTTCTAACAATTTTTCTTATCTGCAATGTGTATGAAGAAATATGTAATAATATGTTAATAATACTAGCAAAAACAATAAACCAAGGTCATTAACCATTTATACAAGAAATACCAAAGGATCTAGAGACAAAAAACATTTGAAAACACCAGTTTTCGATTTTGATGCACTAAATTGGTGTTTTTAATTGTTATTTTTTGTAACAAAGTTAGGCTTTCTATTTCCATTAAAATTTTTTGTAATACTGCCACATCTGTTTGTGGCAAAAATATTTCTTAAAAAGTTTATTGGCATACTAACTATTTCTCTCGACTTCGTACTCGTGAATTAAATAACCATAGTAAAAATATAGCCTATGTTACTCACTGGTAATACAGGTTTTTAACGGTGCAATAATTTTTAAATTGGTCTTGAGATCTTGAGATATTTCAAAACATACAAAAATCCACAAATACAAACCTTTCTTTCCTCTTTATAATAGTAGTGTAGATAAGTCTCTTACATAATCAGTGTTATCTCGGTGACTATCAACTGAGTGTACCACTTGATGAAGTCCAGAGGTTTTTGTACTTTTTTTGCCACATATTAAGGTATATACTAACTCTTTGTTACTATATTAACAGATTCATCAATATAGAATCGTCATCCAATGAAGATATAAAGGAAGATGAGTATTTACGAGATGGCACTGACTATGGAAACATCACCCAAGTTCTTGATGAGAATACAGATGAACATCCACCCGATCAAGTTATAGAGACTGCGTACTTTCTTGAAAGCAAATCGGACGAGTTGCCAGATAATCCAGAGCCAGATCTTAATTCAACAATATTTCCAGTCGTAGATGTGGAACCCTCGACTTCAATATGGCAAGGAATTATGGGACTTGTTGATGAATTGGATGCTGATCCTATAATACCTGAGGTATGATTTTATAGTAATACTTGCGTTCACGCGTGAGTCAGTCAGCGTGGAATTTAAAAAAAAAATGTGGTTCCGGAGTAGTAAGTAGTGTTCTTAAGATAATCTTGAAGAACAAATATGCTCTCACTTTACATCTATGTCAAATATTGTTGTGATCCGTTCAGGACATTACACTACAAACTAATCCATACATACATCCATCTAAACTTTCGTATTTATAATATTAGTAAGATAAGATTTACATTTTAACGACAACTATACCAAACTTGATGTCCTTGTGTTTTTTGCAAGTCATTTACGAAAATAAATACATTTTATGGTAATAGATGGCGCTGATAGAATGATGATTTTAATGTTTCTTTTCTAGGAACCTCTTGATGTGGCACCAGCAAATGATACGTCAAGAGGTAAGAAATTGTATTTTTACAATTTAATAAGACTACAAAGTTTTTTTGTTAATTTAGATATCTAACAATTATTTATATTAATTTAGCTTTATTATTCTAAATTCCAGAAGAAGATTACATCCTCGAGTATTCGTTAGAATATGGTTTCCTAAGACTAACGCCGAGTGCTCGTTTGCACTTCAAGATACCCGTGAAAATAGTGACATTGGACCCGCAGAAAGATGCCTGCTTTGGAGACTCCTTCTCCCGTTTTGTACTGGACGAGTTTCTGGGGTATGATGACCTGCTTATGGCCTCAATAAAGACATTGGCCGAACAAGAGGACAATAAAGGTTATTTAAGGTAAGAAAGCCATAGTAATACCTGCCTAATTTACCTGTCTGTAATAATATTGTAAAAAGGAAAGATTTGGATTTTTGTTTGTATTGAAATAACTCAAAAACTACTGGGCCAAATTCAAAAAATCTTTCACCATTAAAAAGCTACGTTATCAGTAAATAACATAGGATATATTTTACGCGGGCGAAGTCGCGAGCTGTAGCTAGTCTTAAATAAGATAGGTTTTTAATTTTTTTTAATGGTATTTAACTAACTTCAAAAAGAATGAAGTTTCCATTTGATTGGTTTTTGATGAATATATATTGATTACTATGAGATTTATGATCCGATTTATGAGATTCTTTTTTTATGCGAAATAGATGCCATTTGATCCAATTTTTTTCAATATTAGATTTTGAATGTTTTTTAAACCTTTAAAATTCTTTATTTATAGTTTTTATGGTCTTAAATACATATAATCTATCTCAGCTAGTATCTAATTTCATTTAAATCAAGCCTTCACTAAGTATATAAGTCCACCAAACAGTGATTTTTCGTTTTTCTTAAAAAGGCTGACCAAAAGTAGGTTTTCTTTTTTTTCTTAATTTAATAGAAAGATTTTTGATTTAATTAAAGCAAACAATAATTAGTAATCTTAGCAATTAAAGCATTTTTTTATTCTACAGCGACGAGGTCCAGGAAGACCTCTAACTAGATATACAATTTTTAATGCTTATAACTGTAATTCGACTGTTGTAACATAATTGTTATCTTTGTTTCATTCTAACAGAATGAGAGGGATAGCAATGATATAAAAGATATTTCAATACAGTGGAGACTCATCCTAATATGTATTTGTTGCAGGAACGTGATAACCGGGGAACACTATCGCTTTGTCTCGATGTTGACGTCACGCACCTCCTACATCGCCGCCTTCTTCATTATGCTAGTCTTTGTAAGTATTTTTACAATCTATATTTTTACAATAAAGGGTAAACACACTTTGTTACTATTATAATAAAGCGTAAACACACACTTCTTTGTTGCCTAAGATGTCAGCAATTACAGCATATTTTTGAATAACCCTTCTTTTAATAAAAAGCCTTACGATTTATGCTTTATATTTTCACGCCATTAAACTTTGGGGGTAAATATTTTGGATAAGAACCCTAATGTGGGAAAGAGACCTTAAGTTGCTGCCAACATCAAGGAAGCAAGGTTGCCATGGTTTGTTATGTCATGTCATTTTGACGTTTGCAATTGTCAATTTGACACATGTAAACAATAAAAAAAAATTTCATAATTTCATGCGGAATAAGCCGCACGGAAACAGTTTTTACGTTTTATTATATATTATAATAAAACGTAAACACACTTTGTTATGTAGCATGTCAGTAATCATAGCATATTGAATATTCCCTTTTTAAACAAAAGCTCTACACTTACTGCTGTTGAAGCCTGGGTTATCTATGATATTTGCAATGAATTTTAGTTAGAGAAAATCATGAAGTTGCCTTTGCAGTTTCAAATTATTTAAACCCGTTACACATGTTCGGTTACAAATGCAGTTATAACGGAACAGTCGAATTGTGTAGTTAAAAGTCATGTTCTACGTGTTTTCAAAAGGGCTCAACAGATGGCTCTTTGGCATAGTTGTAGAATATTCTGGAAACACATAGGCTGAAAATTAAGTTTTTTCTATTCCACGCGGAGGGTGTCTTTGATTTAAAATTTCTTAGATTATAATTATTATGCACTCTAAAATGTAGCAATATCTGATTTCGTTTTACAGTCAAATCAGGTCCGATGAAGATGGCGTGAAATATTTTTTAAGTCTGCCATCTATCGGTAAAAATTGTATTTACTTTCTGTTAATAGAAATAGCTTACGTGTCGATTTTGTTTTATAGATGGCGCTTATTTCAAAATTAAACGAAATACTAGAAGTAACAGAAATATTAATTTTGTTTAAATAAAAATCAACTCTATGCTGTATTTGCTTAATTTAATTACTATGCGTTATTTGAGTCTGTAATTTATTTTAGTTACAAATTTCATTCAGATCCCTTCAGCAGTTCCATTCTATGGTAATAAATATTCATACATCAATCAAAACTTTTGCATTAATTATTTTAGTAAGATGTTACATCACGTGTGGATGTTATGTTATAGGCTGTTGTGCTATAGATCAATTAATAGGTTAAGGTAAGGCGCGGTCCCTCCTTGCCACTAAAATCAGGACTCTTCCCGAGTTACAGTTATTGCTCTTTTACAGCCCTTTCAAAGTTTATTACGGTTCCGAATTCCACCTTTAGAGAACACCGTCTACCATATACCTACGTAACACGCCTTATGTCTCCCAAAATACTTGGATAAACAGTTATTAGTAATGTTCTTTTATTTCGTTTTTTAAGATGTTTGTACTTTAATTGACTTATGTTTTAATAATTAACAAACTAGTTTTTTTTTCTTGTCTTTGATTATGTATTGACTTAAAAATGTAATGGTAAAGCCATTGTTGGATATTCTTTAACATTTAACTCTTTAGAATGGTTTAAAAACAACGATATTCTAGCAAACGTAGAATGTTGTTCCGTTGCCACAGACTTCCTCCGAATTTATGTTTAGAATCTTAACTCTATAAACAATTCTTTGTTTCAAGCAACCTTGCTTCATTAATGTTACCAGCTTGTAGTTTTTGTCCCTTTCCCGCATGACGTTTTTATCCAAATTACACCTTAAGTCTAATGACGTCATACGTCACGAAGTGTATTTACGCTTTATCGTATTAGTATAGAGTATAGATTAAGTAACAGTTTGAAAATACTTTTGTATATAGTGGTGAGCATATTTAACAGTTGATTTAATTGAATTTTTGACGACGTTATATTATATTACATGAAATAAAAAAAAATAAAATAAAATAACATTTAATCTTATCGTATTAATTAATTAATTATAACGTAACGTATTCGATGTTACTGATAGATTTGTACTAAACCAGATCCCACCCACGCTAATCCCATATTCCGACGTCGCGACGTAGAGAAATTGCATTAATCAATTGTCAACCGGCGAACGTATTGCCTAACGTATACGGTTTCATATGAATCGCGTTGTCAAAGCACAAAGATAATTGAGGAATTTTGCGAACCGATTTTATTTATCACCATTCGATGTTATTACGAGGATTGTGCACGAAGTTTCCCGTTACATTTGCTTTGTTTCCAGAGTAAAAAATACTCACAATGTTATGGATTTTTATGAAATGTTTTCTCTTTGTTAAAACTGAATATGCTTTCAGTTATTACTTTCATGTCATGAAACTATACTACCATAAAAATAGAATTGATTAAAAATCGTATTTCGAAATATTAACACTTTATACTGGTATAGTGTAAAATTAAAAACATATAAGTGGGGGAACGATTTTTTTGAAGAGTTATGTCAAATTTCGTAAACTCAGTATTCAATAGTGAACTCTTCGAATAAAAAAAAATCGATACGAAAGTCTAAATTGATGAAAGATTGTTAGAGTTTGTAACCTAAACTGCTGAACGAATCTCGATAAAATCTGCTATAGATGTGGAGGATA